AGATGACAAAAGTGATACACAAAGATTACATAATTTAGCCAAGATTGTAATAGAGCAAGATACTGAGCTAGAGCTCTTCCTTTTTTTATTTATTTATCTATGTGTATTGTGTATGGTGTGTCTGTGTGGTTTTGTGCACATTTAAGCATTGCTTACAGAAGAGGGGATCAGATCCCCTGAAACTGGAATTACAGATGGTCTTGAGACACCATGAAGATGCTAGAAACTAAATCCAGGTCCTCTAAAGAAGTCTAATCATCTATCTCCCCAAACCCTGATCATTTTTTTCTTAATTCAGAAGTTTTTGCTTATACAAAAAACTGAAGCACTTCATTTGAAATGTGGACTTACGAACTATAGAACATGTCCACTGTAGCACTGTTTATAATATAGGAAAAGTAGAAACCATCTGAATGTCCAGGAATAAGAGAATGGCTAAATAGACCATGCCAAAGCTATTCCACCATTCAAAGAAGTTGCCATACTGCCATTAAAAGTATTTATTAAAATAAATATCTCATGACTTGGAGCCAATGTTCTACATGTATAAGGGGAAAATGAGATAACAAAAATACACAGATGTTAAGATTATTAATAATTTAAAAGATTATCTCAAACACAAACTTAGAATGGTTATTTTCAAATGAAAAACAATGTTTAATTCTGAGTGGCAATATTAGAGATTTCTGTGTTTTCATTTTAATATTTTAAAGAAAAACACAAGTTTCTGCTAATTAAACTATACCAGTAACCTCAACTGTCTGGAAAGGGAAAAAAAAGCTAAAAAGATTCTGATCTGTCTAACTGCACGTGGCTTCTTTCCTTTTGAGTCATAATCTTTGGACATCATACAAAAAGCAAGCAGATATAAAAAAAACCAACTTCAACTTTGTAAACCAAATGAAAGTATTTTCAATTTTTTAAATGATTATTTTAGGATCACAGCACAAGAAGAGGAACAGACTTCATACAGGTCAAAACTTCAGGATAAGAGACAAAAAATGGACTCTGGAGAAGGAACTGATGTTGAATCCAACCATTTACCCTTTCACCCTCTGCCCCATAACTGAGCAAGACCAATTGTTTCCCTGTATTATGGGATGTTTACAATCCCAGAGAGCCATGAAAGGAATTAATAATTTAGCTGACAGCCTTTATTGGGAGCCTCTGGTCTACAGGATAGACATCAGAGCAAGCACTGTCTTGAAATCACAGGTCCCTTTACTGTTTTATAGCTTAATTGGCCCCCAAACATAAATCACTTATTTCTCCTGTATTAGGCAACAATGACTTCTATTCTCTAATTTTCCTTGTTATCAAGTCAGCCCTTGTTCTTTTGAGTTTTACAACTACACGGTAAACACAGCAGCTGAGGGAAAACTCAGGGAGCCAGGCAGACTGGGGCTATTTGGAAAATAGCACAGAAAGGTTATGCTATTTTGAACTTCTCTTGACCTCTGACTGCCCTTGTACCCAGGCGTATGCGAAGGACACAGTACAGGGCACTTCTTGTAGAAATGAACTTAGCCTGAACCTGGGTCATAACATTGGACTCTAGGAAGTCCGGAATTGTAGGAAGGAGCCAGAATGTGAACACAGCTCATATTTGAAGCATGGCTGTCCATCTGCTCTGCCACAGAAAAGGTGAAAGAACACCTGGTAGGTAAAGTAAGTCCTCCCTAACTAGTTCCAACACATCCCACCTGTTGTCCCAAATCTGCTACCTACAACCACTGCCTTAACCTCTGAGTCATCTCTCCAGGCCCACCCATCTCAATCTTACAGCTTCTTAATTTGACAGAGTTAAGTGTGTGCACAGTCAAGGTCCAAAACTAATGCAGACTGAGATCATAATTTTAGTTTTGTCAATCGATTATATTATAATTAGATCCTTACATGTTTTTCAAAGACAAGAGCAAAAGTAATGTACTAGCTTCACAAAAATGATGTAGGAATTGAGAATATTACCTGTATACACGAAGTACATTTTAAAGTACTTTTAAAAGAAAAGTCATTTTAAGTGACTCCCATTCCACAGTGATATATAAAATCATGTTTACTTGCCAGGCCTGGTGGCACACACCTTTAATCCCAGCACTAAGGAAGAAAAGGCAGGAAGATCTCTGTGAATTCAAGGCCAGACTGCTCTACAATCCAAGACAGTCAGATCTGTTACACAGAAAGACCAGGTCTCAAAAAACAAAAAACAAACCAAAAAAACCATGCCTACTCTCACAAAATGAAGAAGTCTGTAAAAACCACCATATTCAGTAAGGGAGCAAATATGTAACAGAAGTAGGGTTATTTAATCCACAAAGTACAATACCTGAGTAACAATCTCTAAAGATTTTCTCAACAAATGGCATGAGCTACTACTTTTAGTAAATACAGAATTGGATGCTATTTCAAAGTCTGAAAACTATCTTTCCAAATATCTTTAATATATTCCTAATATGTGAAGGCAAGAACTAAAGTTAATCATTTGTGCAATCTGAGGCTAAAAACTGGGCCTGGAGCAAAGAAAAGCACAGTATTCCATCCAGCTTTAAATTATTTGGTGTGCTTTCTACATAGTCACACAAAAGACTGCTTGCAGAATCTCTTAGTACCTTAGTACTTAGGACCATGACTCAAGAAAATAACTGAAGTTAGCTTTTCTTCTTCCCAAGGTTAATCATAAGAAAATGATGAGAGTCAAAACGGTGTGCTGACCCTCAGCTGTTGTACTGATACAGTGTATGGTCATAATTTAAAATCGATTCTGACTTTTGTGAATTTCAAAGAGCCATGTCTAGGGCTGCTGAGTTACCAAACCTAAGTTTGATCCCTAGAATACACATGGTAGAAGGAGAAAACTAACTCCCACAAGTTGTCCTCTGATAGCCACATGCATATTGTGGCATGCACAAGCCCCTATAGACACAATTAATCAATGTTTTTTTAAGAAGCAAATCTAATTCCCTGCCATTTGATAAATATCATGGACTTATTTTGCTTGACAATAAAATAATAGTTGAACATATATGAATACTTAAATTTTAAGGTATGGGGGAAAATACATAAAAAGGTCCATATTCTCAGGGATGATATTAGCTCGTGGGTGAAATATTAGCTTCATTACTTACTTAATAACATAATGGTCAGTTAGCTCCATGACCCTTTAAAAGTTCTAGAACGAGAAGGTAACTCTAGACTGTCTCATAAATGTTAAATCTAATTTATTATGTGACCTTTTAAGTTAATACACAGTAGACACTCATGTTTTATTTCTGTAACAACTATAACCATGTCCCAGAATATTTCATGCCAAAAATTTAAATAGTTTTTATCAAAACTTACAGAGTTTTGAAAATCATCATTAAACTAGAAATAGTCGCTCTCATTCCCTCATCTTAATAATATACATGCAAATGCTTTACAAATTAAACTGGAAAAAAGATTATCGATTATAAAGTTCAAACAAAACATAAAGCTAGGCATTTATATGACACACATTTGTAATTCCAGCACCCAGGATGCACAGGCAGGCGAATCTGGAATTTAAAATCATTACCTGAATTTGAGGCTACATACATGCACACTGAATTTGAGGCTAACCTGAACTATAAGACCCTATCTCAAAGAAAAAGAAAATATCAAGAAATGAGGGTATCAAGGAGGTTCAATAGGTAAAGTGCTCCCTAATGAAAGTCAAGCATGGCAGAACAGTGTGTGCCCACGATACTAGTGTTGGGGAAATGGCAAACAGGTCATGCAGGTAAAGACACGTGAGTTCACACCTGCACAAACACAGGTATATGAATACACAGAGGGAGGGAGGGAGGGAGGGAGAGAGGAATGGAGGGAGGGAGGGAGGGAGGGAGGGAGGGAGGG